CAGCGGTTTGGGCGAGTCGGTGACGGCAGTGCCTTGAATACCTGATGCAGGCGGCTGGCAGTCGCTAGAGTGCCAGCCACCGGAATGCGGCTCGGGCAGCGAGTTCAGGATCTTCATGGAGCCGTTGCAGCAGTCATCGCGCTTGACGTGCGTCAGCAGGGTGTCGAGGTAGTTGTCGACATGGGGAGAGCCATCGCGGCTGTCAGGGTACTGCTCGTGGCCTTGTAAGAAGTGGACGTGCTGCTCGATGGAATCGATATGCTGCTGCATCTCTTCGGTGTCCACTTCGATGAGCTTCAGCCTCTGGTCGACTGTGTCCAGGAACTCTTTACATAGGTTGTTGACGCGCAGCCCCAGCTGGGTGACATGCGTCTTCAGCTCAGTTGGGGTGCGAGCTTCTGCGACCGATAGGCGAACGTCAGCCGCAGCAGTGTGAACAAGTTCTACCACTCGGCGTGCTTCGTCACCTGCTCGGCGAGTGGCAAAAGGCGACCGTGGGCTTCATCTGCCGCACGCCGTGCATCAGCTGCAGCTGCGTGAACTTCATCTGCAATCTCGCGGATGTCGAGGGTCAGGATGTGCGAGTCGTACGCGGCGCCAAGCTCGGAGCGGATGTCGATGATCTCTTTGGTGACCTGACTCTGGAGGGAGTCCATGACGGGCTTGACCGAGGTAGCGAACCGGGTGGGCAGCTGGTTGGCGTTGGAGGCCGACAAAAGTTCGAAGCCCGCGATAAGCTTTTCGCCCAACTTATCGAGGGCCCGCTTCTCGAATGTGTGGAGGATGCTATCGAGGGTCGCCTCGCTGGCGAGCGCTGGATTTGAGCCACAATGGCAGGAGGACCCAAACAACCTGGAACGGGTACCCGTGGTCCTAGCTGTAGCCGTACCTAGAGCTAGACCGTTCTGGCGTGTAGCCGTACATATGGCCGTGGTCGTGGACGTACTCATCGTGGCCGTACTCGTGGTCGCGATCCCGGCCGTACTCGTGTCCGTGACCGTGGCCATACTCGTAGTCGTGATTCTAGTCGTACTCGCAATTGTGATCGTGGCCGTGCTGTCGGTCGTTATTGTTGGAATCGTGTGTGTCGGTGGTGCTACGTCGCCGTGTGGGCGTGTCTCGTCATACTTGATGCTCTACCGTGGTCCGTGTTGGAGTCGGGCTACGTTGTGGTAATTGGCTTGGTCTTTACTGCATTGGTGTTGGTGGAGGGTGCCCATGTCGACGAGGAGACTGGGGGTCGGAGTGTTGAGCTGGTAGAAGCTGGAGGTCGATAGGTGGAGGCGGATAGAAGTCGAAAGGTGGAGCTGGAGGCAGAGGTGCAACATCTAATGTTGGACGCTGGAGGTTGTATCCGAGAGTCTCTGAGATCCGGCGGCTCTGGAGCATGTACCGGGCGCCGCGGCCTTCTCAGAGCGTTTCAGAACGGACTTATCCTCGTCCTAGTCCCGCCCGACGCTGTGCACTGGGCCCCGCTGGCTTCCACCAGTACGGGGTTGAGGTCCCCGTGCTGAGCCTGGAGAATTGCCCGCTTGCACGGTTGTGAGTCGCCCGATTTGGCTGTCGAATGGGCTAAGCCGCGCTGGCGGGCCCACAAGGAGGCACAAACCGATGAGTGATGGCCAATCTCAGGAGAAGGCGAATACCGCGCATACGGCCGCGCAGCGGCTAGCTGGATCTCCTCCCGTCAAGCACTATTGCTAATAACCATAGCCTCGTCGTCCTCCTCCTCTTCCTCATCCCCCTCGCTTCTCCTCTTGTCTCCACCTTCTGCCCGTCCTCATCATTCTTCCCACCCACTTTCACCCTCTCCTCCTTGTCCTCCTCCCCTTCCTTGCCTCCTTTCTCGTTATCCTCCCCTCGTCTTCCTCATCCTTTTGCTGCTGCTGCTCCTCCTCGTTCACCCTCCTCCCTGGCCGTGGTCAGATGGTGATGGCGAGGACGATGTATGCCAACGACGACGATGGCAATGACGAGGATGATGGCGGGCGATGGTGATGATGACGATGACGAAGTTACAATGGAGGCCAGTCCACAAGAAACCTTCCACAAGAAACCCAACCCTGAGACCCCAGGACGTCCGTTGATTCTTGGTGTAGGAGCGTCACGCTTCTATAGCAAAACCACCGAAACCCAAGAAACCCGGGGCACCATAGAGGCAAGCAAGGTGTTTCTTGGCCCAGGTCTCCACTGTATGGTGGGGTAGCATGGGGCCTGCTGGAACGTGAGTGTGCGTGTGTGGTGGGGGGGCCAGCATTTTGCTTCTGCCGGTACTTCGCCACCGGGTTCCTGGACAAGGCGCACCTTTGCAAGCACGTCGATTTCGGCACCGCCTGATCCCGAGGCTTTGCCTCCTTCCGGCCTCGCCCTGAGGCTGCGCTCATTCCCTTCTCCCCCTCTTTGTTAATTCAAGCTTCGCGCGGCCCTCTCTCGACCCGCGAATCGTGTGTGTGTGTGTGTGTGTGTGTGTGTGTGTGTGTGTGTGTGTGTGTGTGTGTGTGTGTGTGTGTGTGTGTGTGTGTGTGTGTGTGTGTGGGGGGGGGGGGGGAAGGGAGGGCACGGTGTCCGACTGCACCACGCCCTGCCTGCACGCCGGACAGTGCCTTCGTGCCCCTCTGCGTGCGCTCGCCGGACACAAGGGGCAGAGCGGCAGAAGCCGGGCGGGTGGCAATGGGGGGTGGCCCACATTTGAGCAGGGACCGACCGTCCCGGCATTCCTGTAGTCCTACCACGACGTGTTCGCAGAACCCAAACATGTTCTAAGAACAGAATCCATATTCTTAGAACGCTAACCCGATGAGTTAAAACAAAACAGGCTCCGCCAGAAATGTTCTGAGAACAGTTCGTGGGAACCACAAGAGGTTCTCAGAACATTGTTTGGTAGGGCTATGGGCGAGCCGGGACGCTTCGCCACTGCTTGACACATGGGGGGGTGAAGAGAATCGGGTCGGGCGAAAGGGGGGGATAGCAAGGGGGGGGGTTGAGAATCAGCTCGAGCAGCTGATCTTCCCGGCGCCTCCCGGCGCCTCGAGGCGGCTATGCATCGAGGAATGGGCCCCTCGGTGAGGCCGAAACCAGCTGCATGCAGCAGATTTCGTGACCCCCCCTTTCCCAATCCCCCCCTGTCGCCCAGCCCGAGAGAATTGGCCCCGACGGGGCCCTTTTTCGAGGGCCCCTCTCAGGCGCCCGCCGGCTCCCAGAGGGGCCTCCGGGGCTTCTCTTGTTGCTCCCCCCCCCCCGTGGCCGCCCGCCCGAGGCGGCGGGCGGCGCTCCTGCGGAGCATCGATCCCGGGCATCGTCGGCGGGTGGAGGGCGCCGTCGACCGGCGCCGCCAGGGCCTGCGGCTGGCGGCCAGGCCGAGAGGACGATGAAAGGATTGTCATGCAGGAGCGAAGGTCGGGTCCTCTCTCCTCCTCCTCCTCCTCCTCCTCCTCCTCCTCCTCGATCCGCCTCCTCCTCCTCCTCCTCCTCCTCCTCCTCCTCGTATCCCTCCTATCCTGCATGCAGACCTCCGCAAGCTTCGTCGGGTGTGTCGTTGCGGGAGTCTGCGCCTCCGACGGCCTGCATGCGCTTCGCAGGCCTCGGGGATTGGCTCAGACGCGCTGGGAGCACACGAGGATCTCGGACGGGAGCTCCTGGTACCGAGCTTCAACCCTGACTGGGAAGGAGCGCCGACACGATCCGAAGTATTCAACAACTTAGTCGTTCGACTATGCATTCGCGAATGCTCATCACGGCTCAATGCCGGATTAAACTGCGCACTGTATCCTGCGCTCTCGAGCGGACGTGCGTGCACATTCATGCGCACGCATTCATGCATACAGGTTACAAAAACGCAGCAAATCAGCTTTGCAATGCGATCATATCCACATCTGCACCATGTGCGACTCGGGAACATGCCTCACATTCCCTTCACACCTGTTCGCAGACTGCTTTTTATATCCGCACACGTAACCCACCAGCTCAACACAGCTATCCTCGACGTCCGTACCACCAGCACCGTTGTCAACCATCACCTCACCCCATGTAGTCTGTTGCCCCACCTCGCATGCGACTGATTGCAGCATCCACGCGCAATTGCAGCGACGATCTCATGATAGGAACAGCCTTAGGCAAACCAGTGTCGTTGCGTCGTCAGACAACCAGCAGCTCGCAGAAACCCAATTACGACTCCAATATCATGCAAGTGCAAGTGCGGCTGGGCATCTCAGACGCCCGATAGAAACACTAATGAAGAAGTTTCGCTCTGGTGGCATTCCTTGCAAAACAGCAACGGCGTATATCAAGACACTTGAACACGATAGCGCACGGTATAACGATATAGCTTATGCGCGATGCGGTCACGATGGGCGAGTAAAGACTGGATCGCACAAGCGGGCTCCAACCTCGAAGCCTGAATACATGCCCCATGCCGCCCACTGCCTGAACAGTGCAGTGGGGGGTCCACACACACCACCCCCTCCCCGAACAATATTTATTGCACAACTGTGCGCCGCGACCAGCGCGGCGCAACAGACGAAAGACCGCAAGGGGAGGGCCGGGCAAGGGAGTAGCGGCGGCGAACGTCGCGGAAGCGGAGGCTAGAAAAAAAACGTGCATGGCCTCGGAGGCCCCTAAACTACTGTGCACACGGGCAGTGCAGCACGCAGCAATAACTTTGCCTGTTGGGCGTGAATTAATGGGGGGCGATAAGTGTGGGGTGGGTGGGTGGAAACCGTGCACCTTTCGTGCCCCTTTTGGTCCCAAGGCGCCCCCTCAGGGCCCCTTTAGGGCACAAAAGGTGCACCTTTCCGCGCACCCTTCATGTACCGCCCCACCATTACTCGACGCCCGAGCCTGCTGTGCAAGAGCTGCTCAAGCACCGCGCGCAGCGACGGGACCGCGATGCCCCTGTCGCCGGACTCCCTCACGGCCCCCGTGCTGTCCTCCCCTGGTGGAGCCCGCCCCTGGCGGAGCTGGACAACTTTGCCTCGATGGACCTGCGCTGCCACACTCTCGTTTCACGTGGAATTCACGCAGCCCTTGCCCCTGTTCTTGCAGCACCTAGAGGAGCAACAGCTTCATAAACATACATTTTCGGAGGTCCGCGCCGATTTCTTGGTTCTGCCCTGGGCCCCCTCCCTGGCCCGCGGAGTTAGCCAAGGGCCGCGCCAGAGGCGCCGCCAGAGAGCCCTGCGCAGATCCAAGGAATCCGCGCGGAACTCCGAAAGATTATGTTCATGCTGTTTTTTCTTCAAGCACCAGCTGATCTTTTTGGGGGACCAAGACGTCGCCAGGCACTTCGGGCAGTCGTGGTAACCTGCGTCGCAATCGTACTCGCGCTCCTCTGGCTCCGGCGGCACGCCGGACGGCGGGCTGCCCGAGGGCGGCGGCAGCTCGGAGGGACAACCCTTGCTGGCAGTCTTGCAGCAGTAGATCTTCTTGGCCGCAGACCATCCGTGCACCCACTGAAGTGGTCCCATGTCGTTGTAGCCTGCATTGCAATCGATGGGACACGGGGTCGTCGTTGGCGTGGGTGGCGCCGCGGGAGCTGGGGGACGCGGCGGTGGCGGCGGGGGCGGCGGCGGCGGCGGCGGTGTCGTCGGGCAGCCCCTTCCAACCCTGTCGCAGCAATATTCATTCTTCATGTCGCTCCACGAGTCCTCGTCATCCTCGTCGCAATCGATCGTTGTCCGCCACCGTGCCTCCCGACGTGTTGAGGCGTGGTGGAATGCCAAGTGCTGCTTGGTATGTATTCCGTAAGTCTTCTAAGGCTTCCACCCCTCTCGTCGCGCAGTGCCGCGTGCACCTCCTCCCACCAGCCCGAAGATTCCTGGTCGCGCCGACGCCTACCCAGCGCCTCCGGAACCTCTCCGAGGCTTCCAAGACGACCGGGAAGTGCCACCAAGGCCACGAAGACGACCCAAAATTGCTTCAGTGCGGTCCACGATAGCATCAAGACGGCCCAAGAGGCCCTCAATACGGCCCAAGATGGCCCCAAGGAGGGCCCAGAGAGGCCACCACATATTGATTTCTTTGCAGAGTTTCCCATTGTCTCATGTTCCGACCTCCGTCAGCCCAACACGGCTGAAGCGGCTTCCAAGACGGCGTCAACTCGGCTGTAGAGGAGCCACAGACGGTCCAAGAGAGTCCGAACCTGGCACAAGAGGCCTCCAAAACGGCCCAAGGGGGCTCCATGACGATCAAGACACGCCCAAGATGGCCCCGAAGGGACTCAAACGAGGGCCTCGAGAGGGCCCAGAGGGGCTCCCACGACAGACTCCGAAGGCGCCACACGGCCCAAGAGCGCCCTAAGGCGGCCGAAGGAGCTTCCAAGAGGCCCCGAGAGGCTCCCAAGAGGCTCCTTAAGAGGCCCCTCAAGATGCCCCCGAGGGAGACCTTCAAGAGGCCCCCAAGAGGCCCCCAGGAGGAGGATCAAAGAAATGTGGAGGGAAGAGAAGGGAGGAAGACGACGAAGAACAAGACACCCCGACACGGCACGGGACAGCGTGATCACGCTAAGGACGAAGATGTCCTCCTCCTTATCCTCCTCCTCCTCCTCCTCCTCCTCCTCCTCCTCCTCCACCCCACTCAAGTGCGGCGCAGGTTCGCAGCCATTTCCGCAGTCGATTTGTGTTTGGGAGCCCTAGCCTCGTCTCCGCCTCAGCGTGGCACTTGGGTGGCACCGGATCGGCATCTTCGTCTTAGAGTCGCTCAACCAGCTGGCAAAGAGGGACTGACTCCAGGGTCGGGCTGCGCAATTTTGTATTTTGTCCTCGCAGGGTGCTGTATTGCTGTTCGTGGGATTCTTCAAAGCGAACACGAAGGAGGTTCTCCAAATCTAGCCTTTTTTGGCCTGGAGATACATATCTGGTGGTTGCCCTCCCAGTCGGTCGGAGTGGTAGGGGCCGTTTCCCTTGTGGCACACCGCATGGGGTTCGGCGGCTTGCTGCTGGTCTATTTCAATGGTGGTCTGCCCTCCCAGGCAGTCGGCGTGCTAGGGGCTGTCTCCCCTTGTGGCACACCGCCTGGGGTTCAGCGGCATACTACTTGGTCATGGTTCGTGGGCTTCGTTTCGAGGAACCTGAGGGCGCAAGGGCTTCCACATCATCGGCGTGTACCATGCTGGCCTTTTCATTCAATAACGGTGCAGTGCGTTGCCATAGTGGTATCCTTCGGTTTCGTCTCCAATGCCCACTTCGGCATACCGATTCCTTTGTCAGGGTATTTCATCGCCTGTGCTCAGTATGGCGGTGGAAGTGTTGATGTGACGGTCGCAGCCTTCTGGATTCAGTTCTGGGTGAGACGGGCGGCGCCAGCATTGCCTTCGACTTGCATTGCTTCGCACTCGGGGGCGGCTACCAGACGGCTTGCTGATGCACCTGTCATGTGGTGAAGTCTTCTCCGAGGTTGTCACTCCCCACAAGCGTCGTCGCTTCATGTCTCCGTGGTCATCGTCTACTGAGCTCGGGGAGGCGAGAGGTTTTGTTTAGGACAACGTCCTGGAACTCTCAGACTCACTCTTACTCCACCTCCTCCCCCTCTTTTGGGCGACAAGTGGCACATGTGTCGGCCTTCATCCCCTATTCATTTCCCTTACATGCTCCTCCCTGTCGCGCCCCCAGGGCGTGTGGGTTGGACGGGCCGGGAGTTTGGCCTGACACTTCGTTTATGAAGTTCGACATTTTCTAACAGCTACAAGGATGGAGGGAGGGTGGTCTTCAATGTGGGGCTCTCGCCTTAGCGCCGCGCATTTTGGCTCAAACAACTTGACGCAAATTACACAGCTGGTGGGGCGGTTTTCAAACAGGGGCTCTCGCTTGAGCGCCGCGCACATTCGCCTCGAGGGCCTGCGACAGTTACAGTGATGGAGGGGATTACTCAAATTCGGGTTCTCGCGTGAGCGCCACGCACTTTCGTCTTAAATGCTTGACGCAGTCACGTAGCCGAGGGCGATTCTTCTTCGAAGTGAGGTCCTCGCTGCAGCGCCGCGCGCATTCGTCTTGACAGCTTGCAACGGTTCCTTTTCAACACGGGGCTCTCACGTGACTCCTTCTCACATGTTCAAAATGAAAGCTTTGTTGCAAGTAGCAGCCGCGTGGATAAAAGGCTGTTTCTTTTCAAACTGGGGCTCTCGCCAGAAGCTCCCTCGAAATCGATGACCCGTGTTCCAAAAGTTGCACAGTTCCGAAGAAGGAGGCAGGCTCTGTTTCAACATCGGGCTCTCGCTTGAGACTTCCGCATGTTTGAGCATCACTTCGAAATTGTGCAGTACTTACACGGATGCATGGCTGCTCCTTTTCAAAACAAGGCTATCTCTGGACCCTTCCCTAAGCTTTAGCATTTTACGTCTTTCGATTCTCTCGTCTAGACTTAGGTCGGGCCTGTCCTTGTACAGGGAGATTTTGGACGACAAATAATAAATTGCCAAAGCATTTACCAACATAGCCAAACATTGCTCAAACATCGTCCCAAAACTATTTTTCCCAACCGTCCTGTGGTGTTGGGTCCTCGTTTTGAAGTGACGGTCCCCGCATCCCTCCTCCCTCCTTCCTTCCTCCCCCTCCTCCCCCTCCTTCCTGCGTTTCGCCCACACAGTACTGCGTTTCGTGGCCCCATGGGGAGCTCCACCGAAGCCCACAGTGGGACCGCCCGCGTGCGTCCTACACAACTAATTTGGTACTTTCACCTGCCCAGTACAGCGACTCGTGGCCCCAGAAGGAACCCCACCGAAGCCCCCAGTGGGACCGCCCGCATGCGTCTCGGAAGCCCCAATTTGGCATCTGTGTAACGTTTCGTGGCCCCATCGGGAGCTCCACCGAAGCCCCCAGTAGGACCGCCCGCATGCGTCCCGGAAGCCCAATTTGGCATTTTCACCCACACACAGTACAGCGCTTCGTGGCCCCATAGGGAGCTCCACCGAAGCCCCCAGTGGGACATTTGGCATTTTCACCAATCCAATACGGCGTTTCGTGGCCCCATGGGGAGCTCCACCGAAGCCCACAGTGGGACCGCCCGCGTGCGTCCTACACAACTAAATTGGTACTTTCACCCGCCCAGTACAGCGACTCGTGGCCCAATAAGGAACCCCACCGAAGCCCCCAGTGGGACCGCCCGCATGCGTCTCGGAAGCCCCAATTTGGCATCTGTGCAACGTTTCGTGGCCCCATCGGGAGCTCCACCGAAGCCCCCAGTAGGACCGCCCGCATGCGTCCCGGAAGCCCAATTTGGCATTTTCACCCACACACAGTACAGCGCTTCGTGGCCCCATAGGGAGCTCCACCGAAGCCCCCAGTGGGACATTTGGCATTTTCACCAATCCAATACGGCGTTTCGTGGCCCCATGGGGAGCTCCACCGAAGCCCCCAGTGGGACCGCCCGCATGCGTCTCGGAAGCCCAAATTTGGTATTTTCAGCCACCCAATACAGCGCGTCGTGGCTTCATAGGGAGCTCCACCGAAGCCCCCAGTGGAACCGCCTGCATGCGTCTCGGAAGCGCAAGTTGGCATTTTCGCCCACCCAGTGCAGCGTTTCGTGGCCCCATGGGGAGCTCCACCGAAGCCCCCAGTGGGACCGCCCGCATGCGTCCCTGAAGCCCAATGTGGCATTCTCACCCACCCAGTATGTTTCGCGGCCCCATAGGGAGCTCCACCGAAGCCCCCAATGGGACCGTCCGCATGCGTCCCAGAAGCGCAATTTGGCATTTTCACCACCCAGTACAGCGAATCGTGGCCCCATAGGGAGCTCCACCGAAGCCCCTGTGGGACCGCCCGCATGTGTCCCAGCAACCCAATTTGGCATTTTCACCCACACCCAGTACAGCGTTTCGTGGCCCCATAGGGAGCTCCACCGAAGCCCCCAGTGGGACCGTCCGCTGCGTCCCACACAACCAATTTTGCATTTTCACCCACCCAGTACAGCGCTTCGTGGCCCCACAGGGAGTTCCACCGACGCCCCCAGTGGGACCGCCCGCATGCGTTCCCCCCCGCCCAGTGCAGCGCTTCGTGGCCCCATAAGGGGGCTTCACCGAAGAAGATGGTCACAATTGCGGTACCCACAACTGCACATGGTTGGGTCCTTCGCCAGGACAAGTGTGGACTATTTTTGAACATTCCTCCTGTAGAGGGACAGGCCCGACTTGAACCTAGAAGTGGAGGCTCGACTCCCTGCAAAACGGGACCTCTTCCGCCTGAGTGGCAGGCCCACCCGGCGCTCGTCATTCCAGAGCGGGTGCTGCCCGCAGAGGCAAATTCTTCCGGGGGACTTCTGAGGAGAGGCCTTCGAGGAGGAGGACGAAGAGGACGAAGAGGAGGAGGAGGAGGAGGAGGAGGAGGAGGAAGAGGAGGAGGAGGAGGAGGAGGAGGAGGAGGAGGAGGAGGAGGAGGAGGAGGAGGAGGGAGGAGGAGGAGGAGGAGGAGGAGGAGGAGGAGGAGGAGGAGGAGGAAGGGCCACTGCACCGACCCGGCAGACGTGCTGCGGCGGATCTTTGCGTGGACTTGTGTCGGTGCAGAGCCCCGAAGCGGCGAGGGAACAACGGAGTGAATTCCGCGTGGATTTGTTTCTTAGTCTTCATTCCTGGCCGACAGCGTTTTCCCATGGAACTCCGCTCTGCGATGTTCGCGCCATGAGAAGGGTGTATTGCAGCACCGTTGATGCATCAGGGCTTATTCTGGCCGTCCTCCTCCTCCGCCTCCTCGTCGTCCTTCTCGGGGACGGCACGTGTCACATGTGACGACGTTCCTGTTCCTCCTCCTCCTCCTTTTCTTCCTTTTCCTCCTCCTCCTCCTCCTTTTCTTTCTTTTCCTCCTCCTCCTCCTCCTCCTCCTCCTCCTAGAAGCGGCAAGCGTCACATGCGAAGGCTCTCTCGGCGGTGCGCCAAAAGTGGCCCCGCAGCTCACTGCGCTGGCATGGCGGCGGGGCGGGACCTGCTGCAGGCAGCGAGATCGTCGATGGCTCAACGTCGGTCGTTGTGACGAGCTGCGGCGTCGTGGTGCCGGTGGTGGTCTGCGGCCAGAAATACCAGGCGAGGACGGGCAACAAAAGTAGAAGCAGACCCACCGGCACCAGCACGACGCAGCAGCGGCTCGACGCGCCCGGGATGCGCACGAGGCCGAACAGCCCGGCCCCGTTGCCGACGTACCTGTACGAGGTCTCCTGTCGGAGGCAGGCCGATCGCTGGCCATCGCTCGGACGTCCATTTCCTGTGTTTTTGTTTCGGTTTCGTGCGTGTTTTTTTCGCCAAATGATCAAGGGTGCTCCTCGATGGTCCTCGCCGAAGGAAAAATGCACACGTCCGAGCGATGCCAAGATCGAGACAGCGGCGGCTCTCCCTCGTGCTGCTCGCCCTCTTAGGGCCTCACTGGACGGACGCTTCTCGCCGCGAGGGCCGGCTGCATCCGCCTCGCAAGCCGGGCAGGGGTGGACCCTGGGAGGGGGCCGAGCTCACTAGACGAGCGCGTTCCACTGCTCGCAAAGTGACTGCTCGCAAATGACCTGGATCCGCCGGGGGGGGGGAGGAGGAGGAGGAGGAGGAGGAGGAGGAGGAGGAGGAGGAGGAGGAGGAGGAGGAGGAGGAGGAGTAGGAGGAGGAGGAGGAGGAGGAGGAGGAGGAGGAGGAGGAGGATGAGGATGATGATGATGAGGAGGAGGAGGAGGCGGAGGAGGAGGAGGAGGAGGAGGAGGATGAGGAGCGAGAGAACGAACGAACTGCACAAGCAGAAACCTTCAGAGCTCCGCGTGGGTTCCCAGGATGGGCGCTGGGCCCCTCCTCGCTGGCGCGCGGAGCGCGCCAGGGGCGGCGCCAGAAGCGCCCATCGAAGAAATCCGTGCGGGGCTCTGCAGATTGATGCTTATGCTTATGCCGCTTATCCTTCTTCGAGGGATGCGAGGACGAGGATGGATGGATGGAGTATCATCAACGAGGCCCTGGCGGCCGCCTGCAGGCAGACGACCGCCAAGGCCCCAGATGTCACGAGGGCCCCGCGCCGCCTCGAGCACGCCACACGGACGCCGTGGCGACGAGGGAAGGACCCCGAGGCAGCCCAGACAGGCATCCGCCCGACCCTGGCCTGACCCGAGGGGGTGAGCAGGAGGAGGGCGGCGAGGACGTGGACGAGGACTGGGGGGCAGCGAGCGCGGGTGCGACGACGAGCGCGGGCCGCAAGGGATCGGCCCCGCGCGGCTCCCAAATCTGGGCTGGGCCGCCGGAGGGTGGTCGGTCCGCCGGCCCCCGCTCCGAAAGGTCCGGTGCCGTTTTTGACGATTGGTTGGTCTGTTGCTTTTGTTGTTGTTGTTGCTGCTGCTGCTGTTGTTGTTGTTGTTGTTGCTGTTGTTGTTGTTGTTGTTGCTGCTGCTGCTGTTGTTGTTGAACATTATTAATTCTAAAGAATAATTATTGTTGGGACCCCTGGTGCACGGCCCCCCTGCGCCGCCTAGGCCGCAGCTACATTTTCATCATTTTCGTGAGGAAGCCTCAGGTAATTCGATGTGATCAAGATCCGGTTGTTTTGTTCCCCCCCGCTTTCCCTTGCAAAAAACACTATAAAATGACATTTCTTGTTCTAATATAATCAAATTTCAAGAATCCCTTGCAAAAAATAAGGTAAAGTGGACATTCGCGCGCGCAAGACGAAATCCTTCCAAAAGCTTAGTGTTCGGAGCGATTTTAACATAAAAACATCAAAAAACCAATGGTTTTTCAACAAAAAAATGTCAAAATCTCATCCCGCGCGCTCTTGCGGATTCGTAGGAAACCCAACACTTTTTAAACATTTCTGTCAAACGGGCTTTTGCGAGCAACTTTTTCGAACTTCTGCGACAACGGTTGCGCACCTGCCAGGGCCATCATCCCTGTCAAATAATACCATGCGGGACACATTCGTTTTTTCTTCGCGCGCGCACGCCGAAATCTCCAAAAACCATTGGGTTCTTAAGAATTTTAGCACCGCGCATCATAAAATCACACGAATCGCACCGTAGGTCCTCGAAAAACAGCTGCACGACTTTTCAAAATTTCCACCCGCGCGCGCTGTCCGAATCCTAAAAAAACCAATGGTTTTCCAACATTTATGTTACATGAGCTCGCGCGAGCTACTGTTGTGGAGGCTTAACAACTTCTGTGGGTTAACAAGGCTTAACAACTTCTGTGGGGTGTACGAACGTAGGCTTAACAACTTCTGTGGGTGTGTACTCCACGCCAGTGTAGTAGCCACGGTCGTCCGCAGGCCACGAAGTGAAGTGTCCGAACGTCATAGGGCGGGAAGCTGGGTGTGGGTGGTGGCGAAGAGTCGTGTGGATATTTGGTAGAGCTTGCACTGCCCCCCACAAAGTGGGGGTATTGGCTGGCGTCGCATGAAAACCCTGGCACTGGTGAGAACACTGAGCGTTCGGGTAAAGTGATTGTTGTTGTTGTTGTTGTTGTTGTTGAACATTATTTATTCTAAAGAATAATTATTGTTGGGCCCCCTGGTGCGCGCCCCCCCCGCGCGCGCCTAGGCCGCAGCTACATTTTCATCATTTTCGTGAGGAAGCCTCAGGTAATTCGAGTGTGATCAAGATCCGGTTGTTTTGTTGTAATCCGTTTTCCCTTGCAAAAAACACTATAAAATGACATTTCTTGTTCTAATATAATCAAATTTCAAGAATCCCTTGCAAAAAATAAGGTAAAGTGGACATTCGCGCGCGCAAGACGAAATCCTTCCAAAACCTTAGTGTTCGGAGCGATTTTAACATAAAAACATCAAAAAACCAATGGTTTTTCAAAAAAAAATGTCAAAATCTCATCCCGCGCGCTCTTGCGGATTCGTAGGAAACCCAACACTTTTTAAACATTTCTGTCAAACGGGCTTTTGCGAGCAACTTTTTCGAACTTCTGCGACAACGGTTGCGCACCTGCCAGGGCCATCATCCCTGTCAAATAATACCATGCGGGACACATTCGTTTTTTCTTCGCGCGCGCACGCCGAAATCTCCAAAAACCATTGGGTTCTGTGGGTGTGTACCCCACGCCAGTGTAGTAGCCACGGTCGTCCGCACGCCACGAAGTGAAGTGTCCCAACGTCATAGGGCGGGAAGCTGGGTTTGGGTGGTCGCGAAGAGTCGTTTGGATATTTGGTAGAGCTTGTAATGCCCCCCCACGAAGTGGGGGTATTGCCTGGTGTCGTATGAAAACCCTGGCACTGGGGAGAACACCACGCGTTCGGGTAAAATGATTGTTGTTGTTGTTGTTGTTGTTGTTGTTGTTCCCAAACATCCTGTGGTGTTGGGTCCTCGTTTAGAAGAGGCGGTCCCCGCGTTCCTCCCTCCTTCCTTCCTTCCTCCCCCTCCTCCCTCCCCCCTGAGTTTCACCCATCCAGTACAACGTTTCGTGCCTCCACAAGGAACTCCACAGAAGCCTCCAGTCAGACCGTCCGCATGCGTCCCGAAACGACCAATTTTGCATTTTCACCCACCCAGTACGGCGTTTCGTGGCCCCGTAGGGAGCTCCACCGAAGGCCCCAGTGATACCGCCCGCATGCGTCCCGAAAGCCCAATTTGGCATTTTCACCCACCCAGTACAGCGTTTCGTGGCCCCTTCGGGAGCTCTACCGAAGGCCCCAGTGCCACTGTCCGCATGCGCCCCGAAAGCCCAACGTCCGTGGCCCCAAACGGAACTCCGCCGAAGCGCCCAGTGCTACCGTCCACATGCGTCCCATAAGCGCAATTTGGCATTTTCGCCCATCCAGTACAGCGCTTCGTGGCCCCCATAGGGAGCTCCACCGAAGGCTCCGAGGCCACCGTCCACATGCGTCCTGAAAACCAACTTTGGCATTTTCACCCACCCGGTACGGCGCTTCGTGGCCCCAACCCAAAAGGAACTCCACCGAAGGCCCTACTGGGACCGTCCGCGTGCGTCCCGAAACACCAAATTTGGCATTTTCACGCAACCAGTGCACCGCTTCGTGGCCCGTTAAGGAACCTCTCCGAAGCCCCCAGTGGGACCGCCCGCGTGCGTCCCGAAACCCCCAATTTGGCATTTTCGCCCACCCAATACAGCGCTTCGTGGCACCATAGGGAGCTCCACCGAGGCGCCCGGTGGGACCGTCCGCGTGCGGCCCGGAACACCCAATTTGGCATTTCACACACTCACACACTCACTACACCGTTTCGCGGCCCCATAGGTAGCTACACCGAAGGCTCCACTGCCACCGTCCACATGCGTCCCGAAACACCCAATTTGGAATGTTCACCCGCCCAATACAGCGTTTCGTGGCCCCATAGGGAGCTTCACCGAACCCCCCAGTGGGACCGCCCGCATGCGTCCAGCAAGCCCAATTTGGCATTTTCACCCAATACAACGACTCGTGGCTCCATAGGGAGCTCCACCGAAGGCCCCAGTGCCACCGTCTGCAAGCGCCCCGATAGCCTAATTTGGCATTTACCAGCCCAATACAGCGCTTCGTGGCCCCATCGGGAGCTCCACCGAAGCCCCCAGTGGGACCGTCCGCGCGCATCCTGGAAAATTCAATTTTGTATTTTCACCGACCCAATACGACGTTTGATGACCCCATAGGGAGCTCCACCGAAGGCCCTAGTGGGACCGCCCGCATGCGTTCCACACACACGCACACACACGCACACACGCACACACGCACACACGCACACACACACACACACACACGCACACACGCACACATGCACACACGCACACACGCGCACACGCACACACGCACACACGCACACACGCACACACGCACACACGCACACACGCACACACGCACACACGCACACACGCACACACGCACACACGCACACACGCACACACGCACACACGCACACACGCACACACGCACACACGCACACACGCACACACGCACACACGCACACACGCACACACGCACACACGCACACACGCACACACGCACACACGCACACACGCACACACGCACACACGCACACACGCACACACGCACACACACACACACGCGCACACGCGCACACGCGCACACGCGCACACGCGCACACGCGCACACGCGCACACGCGCACACGCGCACACGCGCACACGCGCACACGCGCACACACACGCAAACACACGC